GTTCTCTGCTGCCTTTGTGTCGGAGCTTGCTGCTTCACCGTGCCTTACAACGCTGTGGATGCCGGTTCTTCTCTTAAACTTCTTGAACCACCCACGGCTTCCCTTAAATGCTTCTTCTTCAGCCGTTGATGATCCTGGCATCTTAACGAGGTCAGCGAAAATCACTTTCACCTTCTCACAAATGATATTCTCGTTAACAGTGTTGCCTTGCAATTGCTTTTCGTTTATCCATATGAGGAGCAACCTTTCAACATCGTCGAGAATACATAACCATTGCATAGATATTCTTGTCACTCCCTTTGAAGCATCTATCTCCTTAATCTTGTCCTTGTTCTTGAGGATAGTGCAAATCATTGATGTAGACCGATTGTATGTGCATGCTAGATCAGCCACGCTCACACCTCATTCTCGCTTTTCAATGATTTTACATTTCATTTCTACGGTTATTTTTATTCTCTTACGGCTGTCTTTTTGCGGATTTTTCTTTGGGGACATTTTTGCAAGGGTTATTAAACTTTGTACAAAAAAAGATCACAAATAAGATGTCTAAACACAAGTTTGGAAAAATATGTGATCACAAGCGACATTAAGATGCTAGCGGAACAAGTGCTAAACACAGACTGATGTAGCAAGCGCACAATCCAGGACTTCCCTCTCATCACTCGTTATGCAAAACGTCGCATGATAAGCAAGTCATTTTTTTACAATTTGTTTTGCTCGTTATGCGAATTACTCGTTATGAGAAGTGCTCGTTAAGCGAGGTTCCACTGTACTTCCCTCCTAACTGAATCATAGGGTTTCTTGAAGTCTACAAATAGCTGATGTACTGTCTCATTGTACTCACATTTTTTCTCCAATATCTGACAAATGCAAAAGATCTGATCTGTTACGTTGAAACCCACACAGATAATCCCCAATAATTTCATCTATGTATGGACTTAACCTTGAGAGAATAATATTGGATACAATTTTGAAGTTGATAGCAGTGATATCCCCGATAATTACTACGGTTACTTTTATCACCCTTCTTGTGAACTGATACAATAATAGACCCCTTCCACTGATCAGGCAATTTTTCCTTGTGCTTTTCCTTAGCTTATGGATCTTAGAATGTAATATTTCACCTCCTGCTTGAACAAGTTCTGCAGGAATTTGATCACTACCTGGCGATTTATGGGGGCACACAGTAGCGTAGTGGTTGAGGAGCTATGCTACAAGCCGGAAGGTCACGGGTTAAAGTCCCGATGAGGTCACTGGATTTTTTTCAGTTGACCTAATCCTTCCAGCCGAGCTAGGCCCTGGGGTTTACTCAGCCTCTAACAGAAATGAGTACCAGGAATTAATTAAATAATTTTCCTGGGGAGTAAAGGGCGGCCGGCACGAAGGCCTGACAACCTTACTGCCATCTTTGAGCCAATTGTCTAGACAATGTGGGACCCTCAACGTCTCACAACCATATGGGCCTTCACAGCCTGGTACGGGAATAGCTTTACTTTTTTTTTGCCTGGCGATTTATACCTTTTCAATTTTGCAGTAGCACTTTCAACCTCAAAAGGGCTAGGATCAGGTAGTAATGGCCTAACATCACTGACCCTTTGTATGTTCAATAACTGAGAGTAATTCTTTCACATATTCAAAATGTTGTGGGAATCTGCAAGCAGATCACCATTCTCATCCTTCACTAAGTTACTGCTAGGGTGGTAACCCCTCTTAAAGTCATTTATTCCTCTATACAGGTCTCTAATGTTCTTGTTCTTACTGTTCATTGCAAGCTCATCAATTTAGTCTTTCAGATATTCCCTCTTTTTAGTCCTGAAATGCCTGCTGGTTTCATGTCTTATATTTTTAAGATTAT